ACCCTAGCCTTTTTCTGCCTTCTGTTGCACAGCTCACAGTTAGCATGTTCTGTTGGGTTTATTTTGGGGTCAGTTTAGTTTTTTTGTGTTAATGAATGAATGCTAAACTCATGTCAGTGAAAGCAGTTTTTTTTTTATATATATATTATATTTTTTATTATACATGTCAATCTTCAAAAGTTTGGAGCATGAACTTGATAAATTTGGGTTCTTTTGGGTTTTTTAATGAATAATTGCTTTCCTTACAAAGCTTGTGTGTGGTTGCTAAACAATCCAATCTAACCTTCTTTTTGTTATTGCTTCAAGTTATCTTTCACTCCATTGTCTTATTATCATAACCAAAAATAAAAATAAAAAAAACTAATCTGTCTTTGCCATTTAGTTATTATTGTTTTAATTTCAATTGCTTTGTGATTTTTGAGGAGGGCCTTGTAGACTTTTTGAAATTTTGGTGCTTGATGGGATGGGGTTGGTGATGGTGCCAGCCATTCTTCAGCTGCTGCTCAAACTCTCTGCCATTGGCTTTGTTTTCACAGTTCAAGGATCTGCTGGTAGATTTATGATCTTTACTCTTCTTTGTTAGAATTGGATTAAATTAGGATTTTTTTTTTCATCAAGCAATCATTTTGTTTATCTGGGTTCGTCAAACTTCGGGTTGCCTATGGTAATGTGAAGAAGCTGACAATAGATATAAGAGTTTATAGGAACCAAATTGGACTGTGGTGTCTTTGTTGATCTGAGATTGTTTGCTAGTAGTGAACCAAAAACTCAATAAAAATGTTCCCCCCCTCAATTCTGTAACCGTAGATCAGAGCTTGTAGATGTAATTGAGACGCCAAAGGGAGCTAGCTAATAGTTATACCAATCTGTTCTCTTCCATAGTCCCGCTCACGGCTCAACTATGGAAATGCATTGCAACAATTATCGTGAGCTGCTTCCATAGTTTTGATGGTTCTTGGAACTTCATACAATTCAGCGGCATTTCTTCTGCTGCATTGATATGTCATCTTGCTTTGATTCCCTTGTCCGCAGTCTGATTTGTTAAAAATTTCTCATATAGTATAATACTTCTCTTCAAGGACAGATAAGTTATGGAGTTTTAAAATCAATAAAGTGCAGAGTGCAGATCTAATGAGTTGTCATTTGAATTTTTCCTATACAGACTAGAAAAACATGGATACTTAACCCCATAAGAAAAAGAAAAATCTTCTTCATGATACAAGCAGAAGTAAATCATATGTGCTCGTGTTGTTAAGAACTCTGCTCTTGTGTCTTTTCTGGTTGATATTTTTCAAATTGAATATTTTAGTTTGAAACTTACATTAAATGCCGAGTTTCATACATGCTGTTTTAAATCTGGTACTCAATCTTTTTTCAGGTAACAAGATATCCCCAACTCCAGCAATTGATATTCCTCCAATTAACGGAACGCCTGGTCCCCAACCCCAGCCATTCAGAAGCAGTGCACCAAGCTCAGAGTCTCAGACAAATGGTAACTAGCATAAACTATCATTGTAAACTGTTACTAATCTCGAGATCATTTTATGATACTTTTGGTTTGAAAATACAGGGTCACATTTACCCTCCCCACTTGCATTGCCGCCACTCACATCTGCCCCAGTTCCCCAAACAATCACAGGGCTTGTACCATCACATTCCCCTAGTCCTCCTGTAGTAACAACTCCTCCCTTGATTTTTCAAGGACATGTAGCATCCTTGTCACCAAGTATTTCGGTTATATCTCCAACGTATAATACAGCTCCTCCACCCACGCTTAATCAAGGACATGCGCCGCCCAAGCCGCCAAGTGCTCATCGAATAGAGGCACCAGTTAGGCAGACTCCTGTCTCTGTGTCGAGTGCTCCAGGTATATAACATTCTAATGCTTGTTTTGTTGAGTAACTTCAATTTGACTTTGGTTCTATAACAAGTGTCTTTATTACAATTTCTGGTTCTACCTGCACCTTCAGGGCAGTCTCCAGAAAATTCAACAGTCAGCCAATCAAGTGCACCCAAAGCTTCACCACCAAGTTCCCCTAAAAAAGAAATATTTTTCAGTGGTGCTCCCATCCTAAAATCAATTGCTCCAGGTATAGATTTAGTATTGTTTTGTGACTCTTCTGGTAGAATCTATTTCAACAGGTTCCTAATTCTTTTTCTTGTTCTCCTTTGTTTTTTTTTTTTCCCTTCCAAACTCGATATCAGCTGTGTCTCCATCAAGGAAATCAAAACAAAATCATCCAGCAGTTCCCCCAATTGCACCAGCAGCAAGGCCATCTGGTGTGCTTTGATACATTATATATATATATATGAATAAGCCCCTTCTTTCTTTTAATTTTTCCTTCCAAAATTTCAAATTAATGAATTATGTTGGTTCTTTTATTTTGATAACAGCAGTTCCGGTTGTATCACCAATTGGAGCAATGCCACAAAATTCATCAGCAACCCACCCAGTTATGCCTGGAGAATCCCCTTCTACATTATCAGGTTCTACTAGAGAGAAAAACTGCAAATTTATTTTCATTTGTGAAGTTGTTCCTTTAGCATTGAACCATTCCACATTTTCAGTTTCAATGTCTGCTGAACTTTGTAATACAATGAACGTGTCAATTGAGAGTCTATGGCCGAAGGAATGGGCAAAAGTCTTGTCTCAGCAACCTTCTTTTGCTTAATTTGTAGTGATATGTCACTAAGGCCTGTTATAAAACATGGTCAATATGACTAAAACGATAATGCTGCTTTAAATAATAGTTTGAAAATTGCCATTACAATCTCCAAAATTGATGGAATGCAGCTTTATTCCATGATCTTGGAAAACAATTAATGTGTATTTGGAAAAAGCCACTAGATATGTCTTTTTTGTTTTTTTTTTGTCAACTCACATTCAATAAGGTCACTTTGAATACCATGAAAAGCTCATTTTCTTATTCTTTTTGCTTTTATTAATCATTCTTCCCAATTGAAATGACTAGTTATTTCAAATGTTGTTGCATTGTATGAATTTAATGACCGTCTCCTTGAAATGCACTTGATTTGTACATGGAAAAAGCTACTAAATTATCTTCTGTGTTCTTGTCGTCATATCATAAATATGGCCTTTTTGTGCAACGTGAAAGCTTAATTTCACCTTCTCTCTTCATTTTAATCGTTTTACCATTTGAATGACTAATTATTTGTCTTGATGTGGCACTGGCACTGCATGACTTGATGACTATCACATGGATTACAAGACTAGGTGCCATTCCAGATAGTTTTACTGGAACTATTTTCATACATGCAAACTCTTTAGACTTGGGCAATTTTACACATTATTCTCTCTCATACAACATTGCAGGTCCAAATGTCTCCTACTCCTCTGCTTTGACCCCAAACATTGACCATAAAAAAAATGGAATTCCAGTGTCTGCACAACCAAATGGAACTTTTCCTCCCTTGAGTCATTCTCCAGCTAAAGGTATACTTTCTTGGAAGAAAATTTCACCAGAATCAATTATATGAAGCACTAGTATGAAGTCTTGGAATTTAACAGTAAAACTTGCCAGTTCTTTTTCTGCTGTAGCTCCTTCACGAAAAGCCGTGAGGCACACTCTAATGAGTCTCTTGTTTCACTTTTGTTATCCCCTAAACCACCTCTAGATAAATGGCATCACTCTTTTGCCCCTTCACCTTCTATCCCCTTTCATAAGAAAAACTATGAAAGGAGCTAGATAAGTAACTTTGCTCCTTCATTCTCTTATACAACATTTGCTCCCTTTTTTAAACAGGAATGTGTTAAGCTTCTCGAAATACATATACAGTGAAAATGATAAATTTTAAATTTTTGTAGGAGTTCCAAGATCTCAGTTAGACAAATCTAGAGTTGTTTAAGGTTTATACAAAAATTATCTAAAGCTAAAATGTTCTTTTTAGCTTTGAATAATTGCTTCAAGGTTAGGTTGTCTAGGTTGTCGCAAACTACAAGTTATCCAAGTGTCCAACTTCTAACAATAATTCACACAAACCACCAGTGGTAAATTTTTTAAACCCTTTTTGGAAAGAGGGATTGGTATATCTTTTGTGTTTTTTAGGTGTTTTTTAACCTATGGAGTTTTTGTATTTTTTACTACTATGTAGAAAATAAAATGTATAATATTCTCTATATAATAAAACCTGAAAACCATATATATTGTAAAATATCAATTTGATTCCTGAATAATATCATATATATTATTTCAGGATAATTTTAAAAATTTATTCAACCAAGTCCTTATTTGATTTTTTCAGGTCTAAAATTGTAATTTCCTATATAAATTACATTATAATTCTCAAGTTCAAAAATTTATTTATAATCAAATTACATTTGATTATTCATCCCATTTTAGTTTTTGACTAATGGTTATTGTGTGTTTAACTCATTAGGTTCTCTAATAAGTTGGTCTACATATAAATTACAATCCTAAATAAAATAGAATTAAATAAACTAAACAAATTAATTTATTATTAATTCAATAATTGATTAATTTATATTTGAAGATCAAGTACAATGTCTAACAACCTGTCTTGATCTCCAAATATTAAGAAAGTCATAATTGGTTTGATTTAACCTTTCAATGATCAATTTCTCAGTGCAATTATTATCTCTTCACTAATAATGTTTTGATCTAGACATTATAGCATGGAGTGTGTCTACTATGTCAACTCATATTTGTTATTAATATCAGTCATTAATTCTTTGAATAATATTTAAAACTCCTATTCCAACTTGTACAAGGATATACAATTAATGTTAATTGAGAACAAATAAAATATTTTTTCTAATTCATTTAGGGTGAGAAATCTTTTCTTAACTACTCAAATATCTTCATATAGTTTATATTATATCCAATATTTGCTCGTTTGTTATTTTTTATTAAGATGTGTAGAAAAATCAAAGCATGACATTCTCTATATTAGATAACTTAATGATCTCAGCCTAAGAATCACTTACACAACCATCAGAGGAGACTTTTCATAGGCATAAGTAATCTCTCCCTATGGAATCCTTATGCCGTTTAGTCAGTATTCATGTCATTTGATAAACATCTACATATTAGTTCTAGGTATCCTGCATGCCTCAGCTTACGAGAACAATTGTTTATTTTTATAAAAAAAAACATAATATATATCAGTTTTAACTCTAATCAATTTCTAGTTTTAATAGAGTATTGACTATCATTTAGAAACATTGTTTTGATACAATAGGAACATCATAATTATAACAACTCTATAATTTTCATTACAAAACATTTTTGTTCTAGAAACTTTATATTTGCTCTAGATGCATTAATTAAATATTATATTTATGAATTAAATATTTGATGAATATTATATATAAATAAAGTCTTTATTAAAATTAAATATATTTACATAAATAAAATCAATGTCACGTGTAATCAACCGATTAGTTACAAGACATATACACTAACACAAGATCACTTGAGAAGTTCTTAAATTAGATAACCATGTGGTTAGCCATGTTCTTAACATTTAGATATTTGGTTTGATTGTGTTTTGATGCCCTTTACAGGACCAGTCATCCCAATGTCATTTCTTCCAATAAGCCGGCATGGACAATATGCTCCTCCACCTCTTAGTTCTCCAGGTATCATAATAGTTGACTGTTCTAGTAGTTTATATTTACAGCATGTAGCTTGAAGGTCGTTTCAGTTTCTAATGCAATTCCTGTATGATAAATTCTTCAATTAATGCATCGCATTATCACTTTCCTAAACCAGTGATCAATATCTCACCTGCTCCTTCACCCTCTCCAACTGCAGTATCTGGTTGGACAAAAAGTAAGAAGTGCTTGTCTTCATTTCGTTTTGTTTCCCTTTTTAATTCATTATGCATTACATTTACTTGTTTCATTCATTACATGCTCAATAGCTTACCTTTTGATTATCTTTACATTTCCAAGTGCCAGTTCTTTCCCCTGAAGCTACTCCTCTTGGGTTTTCTTCAAGGACTCCCAAGATGCCACCACTCCACACACTGCCACCTCCACCTCCTAATGAAGGTACACAGATGTGTGCTTATGTGCTTCTCTTCGTGTACTTTAAAGTTTGTTTATGCTGTCCCTATAATGTTCCTTATCATCCTAAATGTAACGCGCATGCTCATCGAATCTGCAGATTGTTCAGCAACTGTGTGCACAGAGCCATACACAAATACTCCTCCTGGGTCACCGTGTGGCTGTGTCTTGCCCATGCAAGTAGGACTGAGTGTTAGTGTTGCACTGTATACCATTTTCCCTTTAGTTTCAGAGCTTGCTCAGGAAATTGCCACCGGTGTTTTTATGAAACAAAGCCAAGTTCGCATTATGGGGGCCAATGCTGCCAGCCAGCAGCCAGAGAAGACAATCATCCTCGTTGACTTGGTTCCCCTTGGAGAAAGATTTGATAATACAACTGCCTTTTTTATTTATCAAAGATTTTGGCACAAACAAGTGGTTATAAACCCTTCCTTTTTTGGTGACTATGAAGTATTATATGTGCGCTATATAGGTATAAGAGTTCTTTTTAAGTGAACAATTTTTTCTTTTGCTTCTTATTATTTTTTTTCCAGATATTTATCTAAAGGTGCTTCATTTATAGGTTTACCTCCATCTCCACCTTTGGCACCTTCTGGAATTGCTATAATTGATGATGGGCCATATTCTGGCAATGACAACAATGCAAGGACAATAAAGCCCCTAGGGGTTGATGTACATAGGAAGCATAAAAATGGGCTTGGTGGCGGCGTGATTGCTATTATTGCTCTGTCAGGTTTTGTAGCGCTAGTCTTATTCTCTGCTGTTGCTTGGGCATTGGTGTTTAGACATAGAGACCGTGCTGGTCAATCAGAAACAGTCCTGCAGCCTTTGCCACCCTCAGTTGTGAAACCATCAGGTAATACTTGTATTTAAAGCCTATTGCATTTTAGCCTATCAGCTTGAGGAATCAATGATTTAAAGGAGTGAAACATTAAACTTATGGAACATTCAGAATTTGACTGATTAGGTTGCACAGTGATGGAACTTGACAAAGTTAAACAGAGAAAAAGAAGTTATGGAATGCTGAAAAATTCCAAGTTTATACAAATATGTTATTTACTTATTGGACTTCACATATCAGTTTCATATTTTACATACTTTCCTTGTGCATTTAACATGCTTTAGCAGATAATCATTTTGCTTCTATTGGAATACGTTTAATTTAGTAATTTATGGAAATATGAACAATCAAAAGTCTTGCTTCATTTTGAAATGAAAAGGGAAAACACAATTTCCAGGTATTGCTGGGTCATTGGTTGGAAGTGGTCTTAGTTCTGCCTCATCATCCTTTGTATCTAGTATTCCAGCATATGCAGGATCTGCCAAGACCTTCAGCACAGGTGACATAGAGAAAGCCACCAATAGCTTTGATGCTTCAAGAATACTTGGGGAGGGTGGCTTTGGGCGTGTTTACAGTGGTGTTCTAGAAGATGGGACCAAAGTTGCAATAAAAGTTCTAAAGAGAGATGATCAGCAAGGTGGTCGAGAATTCTTGGCAGAGGTTGAGATGCTTAGCCGCCTTCATCACAGAAACTTGGTCAAGTTGATTGGAATATGCACAGAGGAGCATTCACGAAGTTTGGTCTATGAGCTAATACCAAATGGCAGTGTGGAATCTCATCTACATGGTAGCACCCTTGCTCTTTCTGAGCACTCATATTTGGATAGAGAAAGTTCTCTTTTAAAAAAAAAGGGTCAATGTCCTACAACATGAATATGCTTGTCTGTATGTTGTTTATTTATCAGGGGTTGATAAAGGATCTGCTTCTCTTGATTGGGATGCTCGGATCAAGATTGCACTTGGTGCAGCTCGAGGTCTAGCTTATCTACACGAGGATTCAAGCCCTTGTGTGATACACAGGGACTTCAAGTCCAGCAACATTTTGTTGGAACACGATTTCACACCAAAAGTCTCAGACTTTGGTTTGGCTAGGACTGCCTTGGATGTGGAAAATCAACACATATCAACACGTGTCATGGGAACTTTTGGGTAAGAATTCATCTTCCAGACTTCATGAAATCCTATCATATCACTTTAGTTAAATGACTCCACCAGACACATAACACTAAGGCCTTGCAAGGTAATGCCCATGGTTGGTAGCTTGTTATACCTTAATCATGTATTGGGTGGTAACTAGCTCCGAGAGAACAATAGATGGAGGTGACATGCTCATTGCATACTATCAATGCATCCTCATAATTGCTCAGCATTCTGGATGTTGCTGGGTGTCCCGGGTTTAGATTCTGCTGCCAGAAGTTCTATATGACCATGTTATGGTTTTAGAAGGGACAACAGGTACAAAACGAGTTAGCTTCTGCTCCTTGTTCTAGAAAGTACAATAGTTGCCACCACATTGTCTTCTAACTAGATGGTTGAAGAACATCTATAAAGCATAGCAACTGTGTCCAGATCTCTGTTGTGCGGGATCTTCTCTTAAGCTCTTCTAATGACTGAGATGCTCATCCTGACCTACCATACATACAAACAGCCATATTTGGAATTCATAATATGGCTTTGGCAAAATAGATTTGAATGTCCATAAATTAAATGTATCCGTATCAAATAAAATTAAAGCTCGTTGAAATGATACCAAGGTGAACTTCTGAATTTGGATGTTCTTCAAACCAGACATCTTGGTTGGTAATGATTATATTGATCTGCATGAATTGTAACTAGGTAGCTTTTAGTTTTCCTTTTTAGGGGAAAAATATTTCATGGATCAGCTCAATTTTGTTTTTTTTAAATGTCAGACACTGTTTTAACATTTAAGCGACCTCCAAGCTGATCTATAGCATACTTTAAGTTCCTCCATTTGAGTTGTGTTGGTGTTTTATTGAATTTGATGATTCAATTTGCCTAATAAATATTTCATCCAGGTATGTTGCCCCAGAGTATGCAATGACTGGCCATCTTCTTGTGAAGAGTGATGTTTACAGTTATGGTGTCGTCCTTCTTGAGCTCCTAACTGGACGCAAACCAGTGGATATGTCCCAGCCACCTGGTCAAGAGAATCTAGTTACATGGGCCCGTCCGCTTCTAACAAGTAAAGAAGGGCTGAAATTAATTATAGACCCGTCTCTAGGATCTGATGTGCCTTTTGATAGTGTAGCAAAAGTAGCAGCTATTGCATCATTGTGTGTTCAACCAGAGGTATCAAACCGTCCTTTTATGGGTGAGGTTGTTCAGGCCTTGAAACTAGTATCTAATGAGTGTGATGAGGCAAAGGAACTGGATTCCAGAAGTTCCAGTCAAGGTTTGTCTATTGACATGGATGCGGAGGTCAGTGCTGTCTCAGGACAGCTGCGTGGTTCTTTCCAAAATCACGCCCTAGTCCTTAATTATGATTCTGAGCCAGATATTGAAAGGGGACTCTCAGTTTCAGATTTGCTCAGTACATCAGTCGGGTATGGAAGGGAAGGCTGTGGATCATTGCGAAGATGCTCATCAGGTCCATTGCGAAAGGTAAGGGGCAGAGAGCTATTGAGAAAAATGAGATTCACAGGGGAAAGTGTGAGTGAACGTGGAACCATCTTCAAAATGTGGCCAGGTTCACATTGAGAGCTAGATTTTCCCTTGTGTTTTGTGAACATTGACTTCCCTGGTTTTTAATCTCAAATTCTTAACTGTAAGCAAGCATTTAGTCAGTCCTCCACAAGAACGAGAATGGGTGGTGGCCTTGCAAGAGCCTGGAATTGAAAAATAGGCGATTATCGTGGAATGCAGAATGCCAGAATCCATCACTTTTTTTTTTTTAAGGTTTGAAACTTGTATATATTTATGATTATTCTATAATTAATTTTTTTTTATTAATTTAATTAATTAAAATTGGTGTGATGAGTTTTGATAAGACTTTGATATTATATCAAAATATATTCAACCTAAAAGTTTAAATTATTATGTGAAGTTTTAAAAATAATTTTATATTACTCTCTAATAAATAATAACATTAGTTGTTCATTATCAAACAACAAAAACTATACTAAAATTGATCTATAATAGTAAGATTAACCAGCTTAGGAATAGTTAAAGTCAACTAGAAAATATAGAAGTGATGTATTAAGAAAACTAGAAGTTATAATCAACCACTAGAATTAAAAAAACTAGAATTAAAAAAAATCAATTGATTATAGAGATAAAAATTTGTGTGATTGATTAGAAGATTAAATTTTATTCTGAATATGAGTCTTTAGCTAATTATATTGGCAAATATTATAAATTAATTAGAAAATATATGATTGTTAGTGTATATGTTTACATGTTTTGTTGCCAATTGATTGGTCAACCATGATATTGATTTTTTTATGTAAAAGCATATTTATTATTAATAAAGATTTTTTTATCTTTAATATTTTTTTATATTTGATTAGTAAATCTAAAATAAATATAAAGTACTTGGATTAAAATTGTTGTGCAAAAGAAATTATAAATTGGTTATAATCATGAGATTCCTATTGCATTAAAATATTGTTTCTAATTTTTTGATCAATGTTATATCAAGACTAAATATTAAATTGAGTTGTTGAGATTAATACATATAGTGCTTGTTAGGTTACATGTATACCGAGCTGACCCATATGAGAATTTCATATAGAGAGATCAATTATGTTTATGGAAAGGCTGACGTGACAGTTATATAAGTGATCCTTAAACCTGAGATTATTAAGTGATCTTACATAGAAAATGCTATGCTTTAATCTTAACAACTCATTGTCCTAATCAATGATAACAAATAAGTAGATATTGAGTATATCATGAACTATATAAAGTATTTGAGAAATTAAAAGAGGATCCATCACCCTAAATGAATTAGAGAACATGTTCCACATGTTCTCAAATAATATTAATTATGAAATCTTTGCGGATGGTGGAATGAGATTTGAAATGAGTTTTAAATCTTTTTCAAATATCTAATGGCTATAATATTGAGAACAAATATGATTTGATAAGGTAACATTCCATACTATAACATCTAAATCAAAACATTCTTGAACAAGGGATGATAATTACACTAAGAATTTGCTCATTGAAAAGTTATGTCAAACTATTTATTACTTTCCTAATATTTATGGGATCATGCATGTTATTTGATGAAATACTTGATCTTTAAATATATATCAATTGATTATTGAATTAATAATAAATTTAATTATTTAATTAATTTATTTTAGTTTATTTATAATTATGATTTATATTTGGGTGAACTTATTAGGAACTTAATGAGTTACACACATGATGAACTATTAGTCACAAATTAAATTAGAATAACTAATCAAGTGTGATGTTATGCTTATAAATAGATTTATTAAGTTTATAGGGTTATTAAGTTTTTCATTTTAAGAACCTAATGGACCATGGACCATGCTTTTCATTTACAGGGTTATTAATTTTTTTTTATATAAATAAAATGTCATGTATCATATTTCTTTATAAGTTATAAGAGATTGTGTATTGTATATTCTCTGCCTATAACAATAGGTAGAGTAAAAAAAGAAGAAGGAGATATTGGTTAAGGAATAATGACCCTTTTCTCTTAAAAAGGTTTTAAGAGATTTTTTACTAGTGTTTCGTGTGAATTATTATTAGAAGAGAGACACTTGGATGATTTGTGATTTGCAAAAACTTAACCTTAAAAACAATTGATCAAAAGAAGATCTATTTTTAGGTAATCTTCACATAAACTCTAAATGACCTTGGATTGTCTAACAGGATCTTTAGAAATCCTAGAGAATTTTTTTTTTTTGGTTTTCGCTATATTTATATGATATGGGAAACCCAATAATATGTTGATAAAAATGCAAATTATATTAGGATGCATACTGTGATACTATGATTTGTTTTAAATAGTTTATATATGGATAAAAATTGAAGTTAACATAGGATTCCATCTTTGTAACAATATTGAAAAGGTTATTTAGTTATTAGAAACAATAGCTTGCTTTATAAAAATGATTTATTTTTATAATTTGTCTTCTTTCATATTTTTTTTCTTTAAAACCTTTTACAACTTTCATTTTCTTTTGTTTTCTTTATATTTTTATACAAATTAGTTTATTTTACATTACTCTTTTTCCATTATATGTTAAAGCTAAATAGAAAGCCCTACATTCCATTTGATTTATGAGGTTGTTATCTGCCTCCACTCAAGATTAAATTTTTAATTATAGTTTTTCCTAATTGAAAGGAAGGGAAAAAAAAAAACCAATAGTCAATTAATGAATTAACATGTGATCAATCATCAATATTATTTATCAAATTAATAGATTAATGTGCTCTATGGAACCTGATTGTTAACATAATAGCAAATTAGTCACCATGCTTAAAAACATCTTTTAAAAAATTCATTATTATAATTAATAAACAATTAGTACATGCAATTGATAGAGGCTAATCTTATGGCCGTGAAGAATTTAATAGCCACTCATTAATACATGAGTCAATTATGTAACCCTTATTAGACAAGCCATACAATGGCTTTTCATTGCCTAACTCCTTTTGATAACAAAGAGTTCTATAAGGATAAATTCATAATAAAACTTTTCCATTATTCTTAATGTTATCGTCTTGACTCACTTTTAAAGGGTATATTGACATTCCTACACCTTTAACATATCATCACCTATATGGCTAAACTCTATTTAGGAATTGATAGTGTAGTAGGTGGTCATAACCACGATGACTAAACTCTAGTAAGCCATATATGACTTATTTTGAAGGATCTTCTTTTTATTAACAAATAAACTTATTTATACAAATTTAAAGGTCATTTAGTTTGAGATGGAGAATATTAAAAATCTAACTTACTACAATAACATTATGGTCCTCAATAGAACCATGTAGACTCTAAATAATCAACTTAATTAGATTCAGAATGAGAAAATGGAAGTGCTGGCCGGGAATTAGCCTTTTCTTTACAATATTCAGATTTAACCCCTTCCTTATTGATTAGTATTTAAAAGTGTATTTTTATCAAGATTTTATATTATTATTTTGCACTTGAGGTATCAATAACTCCTTAACTAAAACATGTTTTTATAATAACATATCTAATAATATAAGATACCTTTAATTTATAGTAAATGTTTATTTTAAATGCAAGTCTATCACATAAATGAAAGGATTGATTGATGAGTTTAAGAATTGAAATTGAAAGGACAAAGAGATGGCCAAACTTAGAAAAGAAATGCTAGTGCAATCCAAACCGGAACACTGTTCAGTAATTGGATCATATCTGTAGTTATAGATCTCAAATTTAGGTTTACTTTATATAGATGGAAAGCCCAAATACTATTTATTGTTTGGCCTATATCTGGAGTTCTAAAAGTATAAATGACCTCTATTTTTTTTTTCTAGAAAGCTAAGCCAATTTCCTACAACTTTCATTTCAATTCTAACGTTATCAATTATATTTTGGGCAAATAAGAGAAGATAAGGATTTTCACCAACTCAAGGGTTGGCCAACCACTCATCAATTAGTTATCAAATTAATAGTTTCCAATTTTGGCCTATAAAAGGAGGCATTTGTCATGCATTGAGGCATCTTGGTCTCCAGATCAAGAACATACTTTTGCTTTCTCTTTTTGTATTTTTGTAATGTTTAAGTTTTATTTTCATTAATATCATGTTTATACCTTTTAATTCATTTTATTTACTTAGTTAGCTTTTATCTTATTTATGTTCTTATTTTGTTTATTTATTTATTTTTCTTTCATTATATTTAGTTAAGTTTATTATGTCAAGGTGAAAAGGTTACACTAATGGTGTAAGAATAAGTATAATGTAAACTTAATATGAACTTTAATGTTTGATACTAACATGTTTTGTATTTGTTATCTTGTTCACTCTTAATACTTTGCTTGTTAAATGACTAATCTTGATTTGATGACTAATTGATGAGTGGGTGACCAACTCTTGACTTGGTGAAAATCCTTATCTTCTCTTGTCTGCCCAAAACTTTATTGATAACATCAAAATTGGAGCCACTTGAAAACATGAAAGTTGTAGGTAATTGTCTCAGCTTTCTTGTATAAAAAATTTAGGTCATTTGGATTTCTAGAACTTCAGATATGAGCCAAACACTGAACAGTACTCAGGCTGGAAGACAGATTCGGACTTCTTTGTTATTACTACAATTTGGACTTGAAAATGGACTTTTTAAGTCTTAGGCTCCATATGAAAGTTGTAGGCCTATGTCTTACCTTTCCATCCATATAAAGTAGACCTAAATCTGAGATCTATAGCTCTAGATATAACCCAATTACTAAACAGTATTCCGGTTTGGATTGCACCGGCATCTCTTTTCTAAGTTTGGTCATCTCTTTGTTCTTTTAGTTTTTGTTTTTAAATTCATCAATCAATCCTTTTATTTATGTGATAAGCCTGCATTTAAAATGAACATTTACCGTAAATTAAAGGTATCTTATATTATTAGATATATTATTATAAAACATGCTTTAGTTAAGAAGTTATTGATACTTTAAGTGCAAAATGATGACATAAAACCTTGATAAAAAATGCACTTTTAAGTACTAATCACACCCCCCAACCAGCTTATTACTAGTCCCTAGTAATCAAAGCGTTAAAATAGAAAAACAATTTGCAAATTCCACAAAGCAAGGTGTTCATCATTCAACTTCCATTAATCTATCAAGATAAACAAACTCTCATTAAATTTACATATCTGCTCAATACCTCTTAACAAGATATTAATAAACATTTCTT